GCCCCCCCCCAGACCCCCCCCAGGGGCGGCGCCCCTGCCGCCACGCAGGGCCAGCCCCCGCTTCCTGCGTGCAGCAGACAGAATTTGTCGTAACAAATACGAGGGTCCCCACAAGTGGGCTTGAGGGACGTCAAAACCGCATACCCCAAAGCGGTGCCAAGCCCTGCTAGCTGCCCTCCAAACCAGGGAGGCACCGCGAGCAAGTCACCCCCAGCAGCACGAGCCCAGCCCAGCCCACCCCACCACTCCCCGGCATTTTTCCTTTTTAAAGCCAACAACTTACCTTCGGTAAATCTCACTACAAATGTTAGGGCATACCCACAGGAGGAAGGGGTCTTGTTCCAGTTTTCTGCCGAAGGAGGAAAATGCGCAGCAAGGTGCAGACAGGTACAGAAGCGGGAAGCTGCTGCCTCTTTCATCTCCATAGGGGTGGTCTCATTTTATGCCACCCCAGATGTTATTTATGTGAGGCTCATCAGCTGCCCTTTCATCTGTTCCCTATAAAAGGTTGCTTTCGAGTACTTCTCTGAGGGGTGATCACAAAAGGATTCATAGAACCACAGAATGGTTTGCGCTGGAAGGGACCTTAAAGGTTGCCTCGTTCCAACACCTTCCCCTAGAGCAGGTTGCTCAGAGCCCCATCCAACCCGGCCTTGAACACTTCCAGGGATGGGGCATCCACAGCCCCTCTGGGCAACCTGTGCCAGTGCCTCACCACCCTCACAGTGAAGAATTTCTTCCTTTTATCTAATCTAAACTCACCCTCTTTCAGTTTAAAGCCATTGCCCCGTGTCCTATCAGTACAGGCCCTTGTAAAAAGTCCCTCTCCAGCTTTCTCGATTCCTAGAAGCAGGCAAGATTGCAACTATTAGAGCCCACCTGCAACGCTAGACAGCAGTCTGTAAGGGAAGCACTGAGACTACAAGGTTACTCAACACGTTGTGCGTAGCCCAAGTCCACTTCTCAGGGCAATGCTCACACTTGTAAATGCACTGCAAGAAGCATTTTCGAATTACAACAGCAGAGCAAGGGCTTGTAACATCCGTTCCTCTGAAAATCTGAACAAGTTCATTATCTTAAGGCCCAGCATCCATTTCGGACAGCACAAACGCGTCTGAAAGCCCTTCTACTGGAGGAGAATTCAGACCAAGTCCCCTTAGCCCCCCAGTGCCACTTGCGAGGCGAGAAGCAAGATAAACCACGAGCAGGCACACATTGTACCAAAGAACACACCAGCAAACATCGCTTTATTACACTGGTTCAGTTATCCAGACTAACCATAAAAGCTGTTCAGATGGATGCAGACACACAAGTCAGTGGTTTATGTAGTCGGTCAAAGCTCCGGAATCGTTACCAGGGGACAGGTATTCTGCACCGGTTGTTCAGATGGAGGTGAGGGGTCTTTGGCCGGGAGGGGAGGAGGGAGGTGCAGTGGCAGACCCTGCCCAGGCGTGCCTGCTACCACCCGAATCACCAGGCGGACCCAGGAGGTTGTATTGCAAAGAGATCGGGGGGGCACAGTGTTAATCAGCGCAGACAGAACGGAGATACACTGACCTGAGCCTCGCTCAGCCGGGACTACACGAGCACAACACACTGGTACGAGCTACCAAACAAGCAGTTAACGGTTTGGTGTACAGCTGGAACTAGAATGACTCTGGGTGGAAAGGCATAGCAATAAATACTCGCTCAACTCTGCGCACTCTGCCCGTTTACAAACTCACCAGCACCAAGTTACACAGCCATATACTCTTCACTACCTCACAGCAGCAAAATACGATCATTTAAGAGCAGCCGTTGAGCGACTACCCACAGTACATCGTACACACACGTGAAAAGCCTGATGCTACCTCCCATACTGGTCATCTTCCTCCGCGTCCGCCAAGCAACTGGGGCGGCCCCCGGCGCACGGACTCCGCTTCATTTGTTGAGCTCTTCAGACGCAACCAAACTGCTCGATTAATTGAAGACCGCCCCACTGCGAAGTGCCCGTTCTTAGGGGTGGAAAGCATTTGGGTCACTCTGTGAACATGGGACAAATGCAGATTTTGGTTGTCGTTCACGTGCGAGACCAAAACGGATCGAAAATGCAGATGTTTGCTAGTCAGCAGCTCTGCAAGTCTCCTGCCGCTTAAACAGCTTGGGGTTGCACTCTTGAAATTTTACTGGTGGCGTTTATGTCATTTGCCTCTGGATAAACGCTTCCCTGAAAAATACCCTTTAGCAGCCAGATTAGATCACAGTATTTAAAAAGTGATATGGTTACAGTTACATCAGTGCCTTAGACGCCAATGCAAAGGCCAAGAGCAGAGGTTACAAAATTGATGCTTAGTGTAGCACTTACATTTTGGAATAATAACCTGAAAAAAACCACAGCCCAGGTTTCCAATTTCCTTTCCTAGATGCTGAGTCACCAGTAAAAATGCTGTCTAGCTTGGCCTGCAGACCTCCCTGCTACACAGTGCTCGGGGAAGAACGATGCACTTTGCCTCCGTTTGCTCTTTTGGCAGGGATGGCGGCACGTTAACAGCCATTTTGCGCGTGACTGCAGAGATCGCCTTTTCCTGCCGGACTCGGGAGATTCCTCATCTGGAGTTACCGTGGGAGGAGCGAGGCAGCTCTGACGGCTGGCAGAACCCGATGGGCCCCGTACAGCAGACACCAAGAACGAAACCCTCTTGGTAAGCAAACTCAAAGAGCTGAGAATAAGGCAAATAACTTATGACTGATGGAGTAACTCCCAGCTTTCTGCTTGTAATACGTTTTACTCCACAAAATGAAGGAAAGGCAGGTTGACCTGTCTTACTTAACCTTTCCTTACATTTAAGAGGTGACCGAGACTAAAACAGAATAAAAAAAAATAACTAAGGAGAAGTTGTCTGTCTCCCTAGAGCTGTGATACAACAGAAAACTATTGTAGGCTATTCCAGGATGTTGAAAGTCAGTTTAGAGAAAGGCAATAACCCCCTATTACAGGGGCTGTAACAGTAGTGTACTGTATTACATTCTGTGCAAGTTACGCAACTTGTTCGCAAGCTTCAGTTTATCTATGTTTATCTCGCTGCCGTTCTGTTAATTGGGGGCTGAACACTTTACACAATCTTACTCCACAGCTCAAGGTAGTTTCAGCGGGAAAAAAAAAGTAAAAATTCATATCCTGTGTCTGGTATCTGTATGCTCCAAAAGAAGTGTTCCTAATGCCCACACATCAAAATCAAAATCTCGGAGTTTACTGGAAATAGATCAGCTAGATTCCCTTTGTGCTTTGTTTTAAAGCCCCTCGTTTCCAAACCTTGTTTTCAAGGAAGACACACAACACGCTTGAATGAAGATCCCATCTCGTGGCAGTGGTGTTGGTTCTGACTTCCCTCTACACAGACTTTCTCCGACTGACTAGGTGTACACGAGGAGAAAGGGTGTGTATGTCAAAGTGACATCTTTTCCCCAAGAGGATTTTCACACGTTGGAAAACTAACAATGAAAATTACAAGTTAGGTAGGATAAGGTTGAAACTGTCCACAGGCCAACTTGAGCACTACGAGTTCCTTTTAGCCCTTTGTCTGTTGCTCAAAGTTTCCTCTCCCTTAGTTTGTTCCCATTTTGTTCATCCAGTATTGATGAGTGCCCATCACCATTGCTCAAGCATTTGTCCTTTTCATATTTGTGCTCTTGCTTCTGTCGCCTTATCTCCTTATACCGCAAAGTGATGTCACTAAAAAGAAAAACAAACACGTGAACCAGTGATGTGAATGAACAGTTTCAATATACAATCAAAACAATAAAAGGCAAGTGTGTTCTGGAGGCAAGCGCCCTTGGGATAACTTAACCATTTGAGTCCTTTGGCTGTAATTTCTGAAATTGCCAATGGCATTGATTCACTTGAAATTTGTGTTTCTTGCTAGTAGTCTGGCTATTCTCACCTCTTTCAGAAGCATAACACAACAGCATGCTCAACAACAGCAGCAGCCCACTGCTGCTGCCCTGGGCCTCCACTGCAATTCTTTCAGCCTCGTGCAGCTGCTTTTCTCTTACGTGCACAGAGCGGCATCTAAACCAAAAACTTTAACTTGGCTCACTTGTCGCTGACACTGGGACAGCTCGGACAACTGCAATGCAGCAGACTGTTCTTGCAACGAAACTGTAAAACACTGTAGTCTTGTCTAACTCAGAGCACAGGAAAAACAAAACACCGGTCTCGTCTGCCATCTTCGCTCATCCAGGAAGACCAGGTGCAGTCAGACACTTAGCTCTTTACCTGCTTGTACAGCAACACTAACACAAGTAGTCCCACAAAGATCAAAGCTACCAGAGGCTTGATCCCAGAAGAAACCTGCCAGGATCACGCACAGAAAGTTCCCTGTTTATTTAGTAACTCTTACACAAAACCACTGCAGCTCTAGCCATCCGGAAGAGTTGTAATCTATCTTCAGGAGGCACTGAAGGCTAGTGACAGCACACATTTGAGGACACACTGTTTGAACGGATCTCCAGAACAACCCACCCTGTGCAACCCAGGCTGGACCTGAACGTAGCACATCAAACACCGCTTACCGGATGAAGAAACGCCAGGCTGTCCAGGTGAGCACAAGTATAATCCCCAAGATCCAGCACTGGGTGATGTAGAAAGGGAGAGAAAGCGTGAGCGTGTAGGGGTCATACTTCACGACAATCAGAAACTCCGTGGCAGTAATAGCAGCAACCAGCCATGCCTGCTGACCCAATTTCTTATGGAACTTCCTGCAAAATAAATGCACAGATAAAACAAAGCTATTGCTGTAAAATCAAGCACTTAGAGAAATATTCATAAAAAGACAGCTGAGGTAATAATTTCATTCAGCTTTGCACGATTCTAAAAGTCTAGTTTGGATTACACACGTGCGAAGCCTACACAGGCTGATGAATTTCATGTTGGCTCTATCTAAGCTTCCTCTCGGAAGGCTCTGAAAACACAGGACAAGTTAAACTTCTTCATCATGTGATGCAAGGAAGTATCCTCATTTTCAGGGTGTTGGTAAATCCACATAAAACAATTATCTGACCAGCTTGAGATGAGCTGAGATTCAGGGTACCGGATGCAATAAGAGCTCTATTCCTAGATTTCCTCTGCAAACATCAAGTCACACTGCCGTAACTGTATTTAACCCCTATATAATTGCATTCTGAAACTTACTCTCTTCCCAAAAAGGTATTCAACGAGCTGTCACTAATGATCTCTGAACAAATTTTAAAAGAAGAAAGCTTAATAACAAACAGGCAAGATATCGGAAGATAGAAGGATGGCATTTCACTTCTAGGACAACACAACCTTGGGGCAAATACATCATTAACTATTTAATCCCCAGGGTTTCTTTTTAAGCGGTACCAGACAAGTCAACGAGAAGCTACAGTGCTATGTACAAGTCTAGCGAAGGACTATCGGAGAGTAGTGCTAGAAATCAAACTGCAGGAGAATCAAAACATCTATTCAGAGGCTCTGCTTGCAGGAGGAGAGGTTGGAAATACACCATCTTTTGGGTCACCTATTAGTGCCTGGGAAACAGATAAACCCAAAATACCTATAGGCTGCCGTTCAGGAAACCTCATCACCCTCACAGGTAGTAGCCTATTGCTAGAAACCTGGGTAAGCTGCTTGATCTAGACCAGTCAGATCCTCCACTTCTTGACCGTGTCTATCTGTGTCCTTTCTAGACTGGCCATTTTTTCCGCTTACTGACCTGGCAGACCAGATGACTCGTATGTCAATAAGCCAACAGGGTCCTGCTTGGCCAACAAAAGCCCTTTTCTTCTGCGCTGGATTGCGCTGAAATCCTGCCCACCACAGCACCACTGCTGCATGCAGATGTGTTACCCAAAGCACAAAGTACGTCACTTCCCATACGGTAGACTAAACTTTTGTTCTTCCACCACTCATCTTCTGAATCTAAAATGGGGTTTTATTCCCATTAGAGGAAAGAACAAAGAGAAAGCTACCAGAAGTTGAATGTTACTTTTTTTTTTTCCTTTTTTTCTTCCCCCTCAAAGGCATGATTTAATTAAATGTTTCCTGAAATCCAACTGATTTGCATCAAGGAAGATTGAACATGAGAAAAGCAAAACCCTCAACCACCATAATCACCAACTGTTTCACCAGCAAGCACACACAACTAACTTTTCTCAACAGCCTTTGGCCTGTATCTTTTACTTAAAAACCACACAAAGAAGCACTGTGGTGCACCTTCCTATTAGCCCTAAACCTTCCACCTTGATTGATTATTAGTCTATGAAGATGCCCGAGATAAACCATGCAAATAGAAGCACCACTACCTAAACTTAAAGGTGTCTGTTCTTTTTGCCTCCTATTATTCCTTATTCTGCCTTTGTTCTACACGTCTCTGCTTTAATCACAGGGAGTATCTCTCCTGCAGAGAGCCTTGACTTCTCACTTAACCACAGTGTATTTTGAAGTACATTTTCCTACCAGGTCCTTTCTCTTTTGTCCAGCTTACTGTGTTATTCCTTTCTTACCACAGCATAAGATGTGAAGTGAACACATCCAGGCAGAACTATTAGGACAGGACAGAGGAGATGAGGAGCGAAGAGGTATTAAAAAACCCTACAGAGGGCCAGGGAGAGAGGGGTGGACATGTTAAGACGACCTGTGCAGTAGCTCTAGGGCAGTGCAGTGACGGGAAATTCCAGTCTGGTCTACGACTGCTGTGATGTACAGCCTTCTGTCTGGCTGAGGCACCGACTTAGTAAATGCTGTGATATTCAGTAGCCCCGTAAGCTCTTTGGGCCGTATTTTCTGGCCGATTTCACCGTGCAGCGGATGAAAGAGAAGCCACCTAATAAATCCCCAGTTAGGATTTCCTTGGAGAGCGACCGGTCTGCTAACGCTCCCTCGGCCAGGCAGAGACGCAAGCCCGCCCGACACGCTGCCGTCTCCAGCTGGTACGCTGCCCAGCGCGCACACGTCAGAACAGGCCCCAGGCGTCTCCAATGGCGCTGGGGCAGCGGGAGCTGCGACCGCACATTTGCTCCTAGTTTCTTTTCCCCTCTTCTCATCAGATGCCAGCAGCTACACTGGGGAAAGCTCCCTTCCTTTAGCAGGCACTTTCCTGTTGCTCAGACGTATCTGCTCCGCTGCACCCCCCTGGATCCTCAGTATCTGGGAAGGCATCTAAGCACGGAGAACAAACAGAGCTTCTCTTCCCTCTCCTGAATGCAGGGGAGCCATTGCCAAGTCAAGCGTGCAAAACACACGGTTTCTTAAACATGAGGCCTGAGAGTAATATTTGACACCAATACATAAGTTCAAACTACACAAAAGCATCCAATTACACTGGGGAAAAAATACGATGCAGTAAACCAAGTGAGGGTTATTGCCGATGCAGATGGGATGAGCGCATTGCATCTTAAAAAGCATCATGCCTCCACCAACTCAGATGAAAGGACTTCAGAAACTGCTGCAGGTGGTTCATCTTGTATGACAGAATAAATGGGCAGAAACTAGCCTTAACACATGGATAGAGAGAAAAAGCAAAACAGCAAATCTCTCACGGTGAACTCAAGCTGTGCAGATGACCTGCTTCCTCATTTGCCATTGTTTTCTTTCACTAGTTTAAGATGGCACACTGACAAAAAAATTAGAGGTAACCCCAACAGAAGAGCTGTGCAGAACCTAAAACTGCCAAGGAAGAGAGCTGGTTTCCTGCCCTTTTACTCATAAAGATTAAAGTCCTTTTTTTCATGAATGAGATTAAAATTCATGGCCTCAATGCAGACTCTCTGGAAGAGACCTGAAGACCAGGAATACATGACAAGGTCAAATGCTACAGACTGTTGCATCAAGATACTTCTCGTCAGGAACATTTCACATAGCCGGTCCTCAAGAACTCAGAGGCAGCACGTCAAACACAATAGGAGCATGGTATGTAAGAGCTGGAGAACAGCTTCAAGAACCACCCCTCTTCTTGGACTATTTCAACTCTAGATACTCTGTCACCGTGCTTAGACCAAGTTCTTGCAAGCAAAGCCCTAGAACTGTCTGCAGATACTAAGAATCCTGAATGAGAAAAAGAGAGTCTTCATGTTTGAACTTCATTACTTTCTAGACTAAATATCACAAGGTTAGCTGAAGAGATCTAAACAGTTTATCTCAGGCAATCCTGTCACTACCAGAACAAGGCAATAAGCCATGTTTCTGACGAGGAAGGTCAATGGCATATTCCAACCTTTGTCCATTAAGACGTTGAGCGAGTTTCCAAAAGGAAAAGGTTAGGAAGGTTTCTCATGTGCTGTTAGCTGGGAGCCTCTGGTACAGCCTGCTCTTCCCCAGCAGCTTCTCCCTACAACACAACAGGAAGAATCCAAAAGGGTTCCTTGGTTCAAAGTGACGTGCAAGTGAAAATACACCCAGTTAAGTTGGTAAAACGGGGGTAAGATTATCTCTGCTGGGATGACCTGAAATGCACAATGGAACCAAAGTCCAGCTGCGAAAGCCTTCACAGAGACTAGGTAAGACCAGATGCTAGGTTCTGCCATTTTGCATGAACAGTCCTATGAGGTCAGCTCAGTGGTGCATCAAGCACAGCCATGAACCTCAGAAGTGAGGGGACTAGACACCTTACCCACCAAGAGAAACAGAACAGTAGTGGTGGCGGCAGTGATGAAGACATGCAGGTCAGGATGAGAGTCGCTGCTTGCTGGATGAACTTTTCCCACTCGTTGAAAGAATGGCAAACTGAATCAGCAATGAGGCACTGGTGACTGATGATTCTCCTAAATTTCAATGTTATGCCATGTGGTTAAACAGAGGGCAAAGGAGTTTTTCCAACCCAAACAGAAGGACCAGAAGATTGTGAATGGTGCTAAGGAGAGGAGCTCACCAGTGAGAGGCTGAGACCTCTTCTTACCTTTGAGTTGGAGGCACGTCCCAAACCAGTAGGTCCGACACCAAAGGCAGGGGCAGCCTGCCACTGCTGAATGTCCTGAAATCCGACTAAGCAATGTGGGTTGACCCTTCTTCCCAGTTCTAGGAGTCAAAGCCTTGCAAGGGAAACTGATCTTCATAGAATGTTGGAACCCTAAATTCTGAACACAGACACTTTTTGCGTTGGTCAGCGACAGACAATGAACATCCCTTGAAGCCAGACGTTGTCTTAGACTTAAGATGTGGGCTCAGGCAATTTGTGACATTACTACTAAAACTTAAAGGAAAACGTGATTTTGAGAACAAAACTTTCTCAGGTCTTACATAGTCTGCAGAAACAAAAGCAGCAAGGAGAAATATGATGCTTAAGTAGGAACAGTCTGAAAGTACATGCACTGTTATGTATGGGTGCACTTCGCCTTCAACACACTTTGCTATAAAGGGTCCTCTGATCTGCAAGAGGGTGCCATGAGAGCTCCAGAGGACCAGGGACCGGTTGGAAGATAGCTCAAGAAAAGAAGCGCCTTTAAGAAACACTTTTTTTTGTTTTGTTTGGGCCCTGTTGTCCTTAGAAGGCACATCTAAGGACTGTAGTTCCTGGCTATCGATCTGAAAGTAGAGCTCAGTACTCCCCTGCCCACAAGCCAGTGGCACTCCAGCTAATTTATGCATTACATTCTCTAAAGAGTGATCATTTATTAAAAACTGATGTTAAAAACAGTGCACATAGAATGCCCTTAAGAACAGTTGTTCTCACGAGATATAGTCAGAATTTTACCTCCAAAACAAAAGAACACAAAGCAAATGCTTTGGGATTAGGTCTTTATGTCCCTGACAAGCTGAACTACTGCCCTGAGATGGATGCCAAGAAGCCGGAGCAAATTCATAACAAAGCAAGTGAAGCTTGACATGGTATATACACAAGAGGACTGGCTTACGGGTCATCCATGAAGTCGTAGATCTCCCTCATAGCCACACCTCCCACATTGACAAAAAAGACAAGTCGTAACAGGACCAAGTAGTGTTCTGGTGGCATCCAAAGGACAAACTTCAAGTAAAATGTGTTCAGCTCTGCCAATAAAAACTGAGAAAAAGGACATTTAAATTACATTCAAAAGACTTCAATGAACAAAGCCTGGAATCTCCTTCTCTCCCTGCATGACTCCCCCCACCATTTCTCTAACACCACAAAGTCCTACTCAGTATTACTGAGTGCACCATCATCCGTTGCAATAATGACCAAGAACAGCTGGTTTTTAAAAAATTTTCTTTGTGTTGGAAGAGGTATAAAAAAACCACAACAGAAACCTGGACAAGCACTGCCTCTAATTTTGAACAAGTTTATTGTGAGTTTGAAGTACCTGCAGAACTACTGGTAACAAACCCTAAAAGCAACAACCCGTCCTTTCATTGTCACTTAAAATCTGACTGAGGGAATGTCAAAATAACAAGAGGCATAAGCAGTACTTCCTGGGGGTTTTTTTTGTGTTTTTGTTTTTGGTTTGTGGTTTTTTTTTTTTTAAATCACACAGTTATGCAAACGTCACTGCCAAAGCCAATTTAGGAGCATTCATTATACATTTATAGCAAAATGTTCTCAGGAGTGCTGCCCTGGCAATGTGACTAAGTGAGCAAGTAGACAGAAGTTTCTCACTTCAAAAGAAATGATAGCAAACGGCATTAAGCGTTGCTTAATCCAAAAAGAATGAGCCAATACCTGAAGCTTCTTATAAGCTGTCAGCTGAAGCTAGGCTTTGCCAGAAGAAACATTACAGACCAAAGACTAGTATAAATTCAATGGAATCCCTCTGTTGCAAAATCTGCTCCAGCACCTAAAACCCGATTTCTTCAGGGTGCAGAAAGTTGGGAGTATGCACACAGTAACCAGAAAAACATGGATTTTATTTATGCAAGCACACTTACTTCTCCTGTTAACTATGGGAACCTCAGAACGTCTGTGGTGCTATGTGAACTTGGCAAATGTTTTATGTAGTGGAAATCAGGTGATGTGAACTTGTATTCAGCTGACTGAGTTTGCAAACTGCCTGGCACTCGTCGCTGGCACTGCTGTACGCTGCTTGCTTACTTACAGACAGGACATTGTTCCTGAAGCACACTCAGGTCTGCAATTTGACATCAGCATAAAATGCAATATTATTATGAGCGAGAGAGAGAGGTGCTGGTGGCTTGCCAAACCGACTAATGTGCCCCACTCAGCAAACCGTAATAGGGAACGTCACTGGACAGACCCCAAAATAAACCACCGCCAGGTTTCATCTTCCATGTATTTCAAAAAGTATGCTGTTCTAGTGACTGCTCAAAAATACACACAGCAGTCATACTCTGTAGTATAGCAGTAATACAGAAACTGGTTAATGCCCATTGTATCTGGAATGTGTCATAAGAAGTGTCATAAGGGGGTTTTTTAGTTAAATTTCACAGTGGCTGAACTGAGATAATTTGAGTTGCTCAACACACAGCCAAGTGACATCCCGTGGATAGCACAAAGGCCAAAGTCCCCCAGCTGACAAGAGGCAGGAGTGGGGAAAAAGCACTTAAGCTGCCAAGCTTATCTTCCATGTCAGTGTCATGTGCACAATACCTGTGACTGTGAAATGGAAGTTATGAATTCAAGGAGATGCATCCCCATAATACAAATGCAGCCACTCAGATGGCTAGCTGAAGGAGGCAGACTGTCAATTTGTTGTCACTGCTGGAGAAGCCGACTTTCTCTTTTGTCTAAATGGGGGAGCTACTTCAACTGAACTGGTCAAGCCGGATACTGTTAACACCATCGCGTGCTACCTGTTCAGTGAAACGTTTAAAAAAAATCTAGGATAATTGAATTATTTAAGTCTGTATAAAAATATTATCTGAGGCAAAACTGTGCGCTTCAGGAGCCATGCTGCCCAGAGCTCACGTATAGAAGCCTGAGGCTTCGGTTACAGTCCTTGCCAGCTGTAATGTCATCTGTATCTGCTTAAGACTGAGAGAAACAAGCGCTTTCGTCCAAAGCCAGTGTTTTCGCTAGCAGCAGTTACTTGCTGAATTAGGCATAGATCATCATTTATATTGCTCACATTGCCAATCAACATCGTTCAGCAAGCAGGAACAAATATTTATGCAATGAATTTGTAAACTGCACCAGAGACATGGACACAGACACCTTTTCTGCAGGATTTGGAAATGATCTCTTCCAGCTTCAACTAAAGAAACATCACCATGTCAGAGTTTCAGCCTAAGTTACCGTTTGTACAGTTGCTTGAGTGTTACAAAACATTAAATCAAACAGTAGAGAAAACACAGAGAGGTTTCCTTACGACGAAGATTATGCCACAAACTGCTAGCCATCTGCGTAAGCTGGACGCTGGCTTCCACTCAAATTTGACCCAGCTATAGGGGGTGAACTGGAAGACAATTCTCTTCATTTTACCTCTGAAAAAAAGCACAACACATTCTTGCAAAGAAACAGCACGTAAGACATCTACTAACATTTCCATTTGAGACACCAATTCACATATGCAAAATGCCTCCATTTACTCCATAAAAATTACTGCTTAATGAGATTAACATTCTGAGTTAGGGAGAAGCCTGTTATTTGGACTATCATTTTAAACTTTAATATGCCACACCCATTGTAGGAAGCAGTTCCTCAGTTCTCCTTTGCTAAGCAAAGATACTACAGAAAAGGATAGTTCATTACTGCTACAAGACTACAAGGGATTTATTAAATTTGAAGTTTCAGTGTCCTAACTGCTATGAAGTTCTGACTACTAGGGAATGAATTATTTGCACAAGGACCAGATAGATCCTTGCCGTGAATGAGGGAGTATGATCCTGACTTGGATTCCAGCATCTCCTCTAACAATTTCATTGAATAAGCTCATTTCCACAAGATGCCCTCATTCCTAGACATCAGGCAATGCTCATGACAGACAATTCATTTTCAACAATTTCATTTGCAAGTTAACCAAAAGTCTCCTAAACAAGCTTCCATGCAGTAGTAAGTCACTAGATACTTGAGTCATCTAAACACACATGAATTCTTTAATTCACATTAACCCTAACAGAACAACCTTTCAACGACCAAGATCTTTAACACAGGCCCAAACTTTGCACTGTGCTACTGCTTGTGGAGTTACTTTCTACACCAACTTACTTGTACGTAGGAATGTTCCAAAGTCCTTGCCATTTGTATGTTTTCAAAGAAAGCCAAGACAGAGTCTTCATCCCACAGTAAATTCCTAATCCATTACATAAGATCACATCCATTATCCACTGAAAGGAGAAAGACACAGTGATGCTGGAGAAGAAGCACTGAAGCTTGTAAAAGGGAAGATACTGTAGGTACACAACACACACACTCTCACTCACAAGGATTGAGCATCCCCAGAGAAGAGAGGTGCACGAACTGTCAGGAGAAAGAATCTTGGCTGCCCAAGTCTATTCAAATAAAGCAAGTGTTCAGCAGATGATGGCTGTAGCTTCTTTTTTGATGTATTAATTCTGCTACAGCACAGACCTCTTCCCACTTACTGCCAGCTCAACTCTACTCTGTCAATAGAATTTTAGAAACACACACACACACACAAACACACACACAAACTCCGAACCTGTTCCTACAGACCTGGTTTTACTATGCCCAGTAACTTAAACTCCTTACGCTTCAGGCTGCCTCCTAAAGAAATGACTTCTCTCCAAGCACAGGATGTGAAATTAAACAAGTGATTTCTCCCCATTGCCCCGTCTTATTGCCAAGCTTTAATTCTGGAGATGGAGCTCTTGAGCTGAAAAAAAATTGGCTGTCTTTCACATTCAAAGAAGCAGAGCACCAAGTGTTAATTTCATAAGAAGTTTTTTTGAGGGCAAAATAGCTTTGCTTGATGTCTTTATACATAATGCATTTACTTTTATAAATACAACGGTGTAGCAAATCGTTACAAGCTTGCGAAACAGCTTGTACTGTAAGAATAAAAACAAGTCAAAATAACATAAAAAACATAGCTGTGTTCCGTGAATGTAGATAATTTTGATCACTTTGGTAACCAATTTACATTCCATAGGAAAATATATTTTAAAAATTTTTAAAAAAGCATCACTAAGTTATAGATCTTATTTTTTCCACAGAGAAACTAGATCAGAGTAGTCCCTCTGGCTTGAAAAAATACACACAAGCAGTATTTTAGGACAAGAATGGTTACAGACTATCACGTGCAAAGACCATACAGCTTTTCAGTAAGGCCAAATATTTAGCTTTTAAAAGCATTTTATAAACCACAACATAAATGCTAAACACAGTAATATTTACTGTTTTCAGAAAACGGTGAAGATAGGTTTGCACAGAAGGAAGAGCTGACCACAAATTGTACTGAGCCTCTTTTTCTTTTTTCTCTTTTTTTTTTTTTTTTAAACAGGTAGGAAAACTCACCATCTGAAAATACACGAAGTTTTTACTTTTCTCTTAATTTTATATTTTAAGGTTTGTAGCATCATCAAACATTTGAAAATGATCAGGTAAAGCTTCAGATTCTTTCTCTGGTGTGAAATCAACCAAAAAAGTATTTAACCATGTGCAAAAAACCTGCAAAATTACAGTGTGACAAATGTATTACAAACTCAACACGCAGAGGCACCAAAGCTCCTGAGCTGCAGTAGTCACACATATATCTCTGTCCACATACACATGACACAGTTCTCACAACTTCCTACCTGCTCCCTTTAACATATATACTTCCATTTAGACAAATATATCATGATTTATGCGGTACATACGTGATCCCACCAACATTCACTGAAGTTTGGAAGCTGGTGTTCCAGACTGTACTCCAGAAACTCAAACATTACACTGATGATCATACACATCCACCAGTCTCGAATCATCAACGTCTACATAAAGGGAGAAAAAGGTCTTTCAAATATCCACAACAGTTGCACAACATACTAAAAACCATTACAAAAAGGAATACTTGCACACCAGATTGAGCAGAACCGGACACCACTTGCACTAATGCCCTTTAGAAATCTAAATAAAGGAAAACTCCATAAATACTGTAGAGTCACTGCTCAGATTTATAGTTTTGCAACAATATATGGAAGAATTATGTTTTTTTCCTAATTTCAAAACTGATCACCTAAGGAATCTGAGGTTAACCCTTCTGGACTCTGAACACAGAGGACACACATGGTGTGCTTTGTTTACCAGTTATTTCTACAGTTGAATATCTTGTCTCCAGTATCCATGACAATCTTTTATCATGTGATAGTCTAGTAAAGCCAAATGTTCACAGGCCTCTCAACTTATCAAGTGTGCAGCACAACAGACAAGACAGACACTGAAGAGTACAGATGATGACATTATGCCATTCCATGAAAGAATAAAGGCAGGCAAGATGGGATTCAGAAGGAATTTAAGTCAGTTAGATGAATAGAATTACTGGGTGCTTGACCACCACAGGTAGCGTCATCCTAACGCTGCTCAAAAAAGGCTTTTCTGAGCCTGCTTAATGCAAACTTTTTAAAAGTCACTTGCACTAAATCTCAGCCCTGACTATGCTGGGATACCCGGGTCTACTTTATACCAGCCAGCAGCTTGTCAGGGTGAGCAATGAAGAGCAGCATCTTCTTCCACTTTCAGCATAAGGATTCAGCTGAGTTGCAGCCCTAGAACGTATGTATCATCTCAGCCTATTGTCAAAACAAGAGAAGAGACTCGTGGTAACACTTTATTTCATATTTGTAAGTGGTAAGAGCACAGAGAGCCTGTTGGTACATCTTGTCTGCTGCATGGAACTCAACTGTGCATGCAAATCCTCAGCCAGGTGCCTAGATGGAAGGTGGCAGCCCCAAATGTGCTAGTACGGATTCTGCAAAAGTAGCAGAAGAATGTAGCTTGGCGTTGACCACCTCAACCAGAAGGTGGAAAAAGATATGCATTACCATACATTAGTCTAACAACATGTGATCTAAATTACTCCAAAGCAAACAGGAGGCCAACAATCATTTCTGATGAGTGAGGCACATTCATTTTCAATATTGCCATTCTGGTGCTTTGAGATATAGCTTAAGGGTCTGTTATTCAAACCAGACCAAAAAGAAAGACAACAAACCCAGACACATGCTCATCTCTGTTTACAAAGACAACACACTCAACTTCCAGCTTTTTGACAGAAAAACACATTAACTGACAAATAAGACATATAGCAGCCCGTTTCCTTCAAGCTTAGCAGCACTTCACCTTGTGAAGCATGCTGGGCCCTTCAGATCTGATTGCAGGTTGACAAGATGACATACCATCTCAAGCATTTCTGCAGAAATAGTCTCTTTAATAAAAACTAGGTTTCTTCCAAACCACGACAGATAATAGCTTGATTGAGTGGACTGGCATATTGAATTCTATCCCATTCTGGTTCCTCAGGAACGTGTTACTACTCCCCTTATGTCTTGTTATGAGGCTCTCACTATTTAGGCACCTTTTTCCCCAGTATGGCATTATTTGTAAAAATAAATACAGAATGTAACTGAAATACTGTTTTGATATTTAAGTTTCTAATGTAATTCTCTTGGATGAAGAAGATCCAGGTTTCTCCAAATTTATAATTCTGTATACTAACAAAGCAAGCCACTGACAAGTTGATCTGAAGTAAAAGTCTCCCCATACCTAGCATACTCATCTTTTGATTATGGGAGAAAAAAACCCAGACCAAAAGCAAACACTCATAGGAATGCACCTGCACTTTTGAAAAGTAAAAACAAAACAGTTGTAGCTTTTTTTTAAAACGGCCAGAGCTTTTTCCACTTCTTAAATATAGTGATCTGGTAGGTAAAAAAAATAAACAAGGTTTGCAGCACAAAATAAAGTTAGCTAGTAAATTTGCTCAGGTTAAAAAAAGCTAACATTTAGACCAAAGTAACCAGGAAAACATGTGTGGAATGTGTTGTGCCAGAGACAAGCACAACTGGAATTCCTTCCACAGCTGGCTGATATTGGCTAAAAAGTAACGAGAATTCAACCGCTACCCATTTAATGATTTAAAATCCTGATTTGGATGCCACTGGGAAAAGCCTGCCCTGGAACACTTGCAGTATATCATCACGCATCTGTGTTTGGGGAACACTACTTTCACTGCCTTCCCCGAACCATGTCTTCCCCATACTCTGCATTCAAAGGTCATTCAAGCATTTATCTTGCTACAGGAGTAAAGGTTTTTACTTTTATTAATCTGACTCAGAATGAATTATGGTGGAGGAGGGAGCTTGTCAATGTAATGTCACTCTGGAAAGAAATGTGGTGACCTAACACGGCCAGGAGAGGGGGGGAATAAAAGAAAAAGAAGCCTTTCATGTATTACAGTCAGTTTAGTCCACAGATGACTGCCTAATATAATTGATCATGAAGACTGGCATCACTACAACAGAAGCAGTCAAGCTTTACAAGTAGAATACTTCTGTAACAGAAGATCCATCCTTACTTTCAGGTACCAGCCAAAAAAGTGAGCAGGAACAAATCCATCCAGTTTGTCCTACAAACCAAGAAGAGAGTGTAGGTCACTTTGAACTCCAAACAGCAACCCATTCTTAAGGCTTACTTTTTTCCCCCCAAGAAAAATGCAGCAATAAGCTTCAGTTGTTTCACACATAAATACTAGATGCATTTTATGAGTTTGTGTTCTCGAGTACAGTGAACAAACAGGCCATCTTCAAAGCAATGTCAACAATTTTAAGGGGCAGAAACTGGAATTAGGATCGTATCAATAAAGCAGAGACTACCTTTTTAATGTCAAATGTCACGTTCCTTGCCTTCAAGGGGACAGAAGCAGAACACGTTCAAGCCAGAGCAAGAACATGCATTTCTTCATCAGACCCCCATCTTCTATCTGTCAGAGCTTCTTAAATCTTATCAGTCCTGCCACCATAAATTCCTGGGCAGAGTGCGCCTTGCCTCCTCCTAGTTTTGGTGCAAGACTAGAAAAGGACAGCTGTAACTGCTCTCAGTTATTCCAGTTCCTGATGCACTGAAGACTTACACAGGAGACCCAAAGGTGCTCACTACACAAGCACTAACAGTTCCATGCAGTCAGGGAGTTGTAAGTAACCGTAATTCCTTTGCCCTTTTGTCTTCTGTTTGAGTCTTCCGTTTGCCAGAGAGAAACAATAACCTGACGGTCTCTGGTATTCAGAAAAAGTGCAACTTATGGGTTGCTTGGCAACATGCAACTTTTGAACTTTGTGCCCTAACGTGACTGCGAGTAGAAGATTCTTTAAGCACACAAATAAACCCAAACTCCTAGGGCAAAAGGTTTACATCAATAATCTGAGAAAGGAGGATTGTTAAACAGTTTACTCTCTCCCCTGGGCAACGGAATTAGGATCCAAAGAGACACATCTCCATCTGATTGACAGGAAAGGTCAAGAGAAGAGAAACACAAAAGCTAAGTCATGACCTGTTCTCTCATTCAACGCTCAGAAAGACTCATGGCTGCACTTTGAGGAGTTCAATTTGGCAACATTTTACGAAAAAGTAGTCACGACCCATTAGCGAGTAACTTCATTTGTTTCTCACCCAGATGTTGTGAAATGGATCGGTTTCATTGCCAGGATCATAAATAAGGCAGTTTCCACCGTAGTCTCTTTCTGGCAAAGGAACACCTAAATGTGGATCAATGTACTTCATAAACTGTCTGCCATCTTGTACAGTCTGCAAAAGGAACACAAACCCCGTGTTTTCCTCTTAATAACTATTAATACACAGAAAAGTACAAAGATAATTAAGAACAACATTGCATCCTCAAACAGGTGTTTTTTTTAAAAACTGTGTTGCAGAACAATTCTTGAAATACATCCACACCTCAAAGCATCACACAGTATATATACCTGACCTTCTGGGCCTCCAATGCTAAACATTAAGGAAAAAAGTGACTACAGAATGAACTTATGATTTTTGTCATCTTTAAGAAATCTGAGAAGGCTAACTCTCTTTCCTAAGCCACTCCTCCATTCCCCCTCCCTCCCAAAAGCTTAGCACTCGAACTGGCACCCAATCCATCCTTCTCATTGACCCTTCTGCCCTTCCTTTCCCCTCCTCGAGGGTAAAGAAAAAGCAGCCAGTAACTCAGGAAAGGCTCGTTTAATGGCTGCATCTCCTGCATGAGTGACCTTCTGGTTGCCTAGAATGGGAAAGATCCAGCAGCACTTTAATCATGCAGCCCGAACAAAATGCAGTACGTGCAAACATCAGCAGATCGAGCACAGCGATTAGGTGCCCTGTTAGCAGGTTTAGTTGTGCACGTGTGCTCAGCTCCCTGCAGCTCCAGAAAGTCGAGAACTGCACTGCGTTTCATGGCAGAAAAAATTTAGTGCAGCTCTTTGAACAAACAGTCATTTCCAATAAGATCCCACTAGGAGCACGGGTAATAAACTTGAAGCAAACAGCAAGGAAGAAATTATAAAAATATTAGTTATAAACAGTGACCAAGCTTGAACTAATTACCAGTAACTCACACACACATTTGCTGAATAAGGTATTTCCCAGTGAAATTGCTCACCGTTGTGGTCAGTGTGTTACAACAGACTAGCAGACAGTGAAAGCAGGGAAAGGCCAAAATTAGTTAATAGCAGTAATAATTAAAATTATAGAATAAAACCACTGAAGTCACATTAGCTGTTAAGACAAGTTTCAACTATGAGTGAGCTTGTATTTGCTTTTAAGGAGGTTTAGTCACTTACAGACTCAGCATAACTTTAACCTTATTTAAACCTGTGCATAATGTATTTTTAGTAAAGAGCTGAGCAACCGCTAGTGAGTGTCCATAACAACTAAATGGCTGGTAACATAACATACTGCCAGAGGAAAGCCAAGCAATTCCAGGCTGTTTATTAGCATTCAGAACTACAACAGCACTATCAAATAAAAATGAACCATATTATTCAGCCTGACTGCAGCTAGTCAGGAGTATCATTTACAAGGATGCCCGAAAAAACCCAAACAAACCAGGGTGACATGAAACAATAAGAACATAAGAATAAATCGGAACTGGGTAAGTATTCCCCAGTGGTGAGGAATAACAACAAAAAAGGCAAGACAGACCTGTTCATGCCTGTGAAAGGGTCAGAACTCCACTCCTTCCAGGCAGCCTAAAAGAAACCCTAATGAGACATTAGGCCCTGCGTAAGGGTTTACACTGAAGCCTCAAGTTATGTCAATGGAAGAGAAACTCACACTGTTGTTTACTGATCTACTGCAGACCCATTCCAGTTGCCCACTGAGACAAGAAGCCAGGCAAAAAAAGACAGTTTTGGGGTGGCTCCAGGAAAGCCAAGCAGAACAAGAAATGCTGGAAGCCAAAGGAAATCTTTGATTAGCTGGAAAGAGTTTGGTCAATATTAAAAACTTGTTTGCAAAGCAAATGCCCTACTCCAACAGAAGGCAGATCCTGACACCTCTGAATTCCAGCCCCACTTCTTCAAGCTCACTCGGCCTCTAGTGGCAAAACATTTTTTTAAAAACATGTTCCTCATCTAAAATGATTTTTTTAAAGCTACCTGATGAGTATGTGATGGCACTTGCACAACCCTTTAAAATACAGAGCAAACGTTACTAAGGCATCAGCAAGAAGGACCTATATGAAAATGAACAACTGGGGACTCTAATTGAAATCTAAATCTGAAAAGTATCCAGCTGTCTGACTGAGCAGGACAGTTACCTCTCATGGTTTTGTATCTCTACAGTTGCTTTTGCCTTCAGTCAGGCCGTTGCCTGAGGAGATAACTGCAATAATTGGATTGAGTAACTGAGGAAAGGATGAGGCTCCTCCATAATCTCGAGCTCCTTCTTGGCACTCAAACTTGATTTGCAGTGGTGTAAGTATACATACAGGAACACAATGGCTTTGTTAATAGCGTCAGGTTTACTATTTTACCTCAACTGCTGCATTTCTGAAAAGTCATAGAATTGTAAAAACCAGGGGAAAATTCTCAAGGACAAGAATTTGGTAAAAAATAACATGCTTTATCTGTAAATAGCAATAATAGTCTCTTTTCTAGAAAAATCATAATCCTTAGTTTGCTGCCACTACGAAGTCACGTATGAAGTTTCAGTCTATTGCAAAAAAAACCCCACACCCCAACGTTCAAAGCACCTATCATTCAAAGTAAAAAGTATTTAATAGGATTAAACAAAATTACTTCACCCTACGATTTGTAGGATCTAAGAAACTAACAGCTGGTACGCAACTTCAGCAAGTCACATCAAGTCCAGCACAGAAGAGACTAAGTATGAGAAGCACCAACTCCTGATCGTTTGACCTGAACAAGAACTCTGACTTATCAACTGCTTTAAGAACACTTCACTGTGGTGTCTAACCTAGGCTGAGACTAACTGGAGGTTAGACAACAAGGTGAAATATTTTTATAGTATTATAATTTTTCCTCAACCTGTCTCATTAAATAGCACAATCATTTGATTTCACAAAAATGAAGCGCATCTCCTGTAGTCAGTGAGAACCCTAAAGAACACCACAAAGGATTGTATATCCACATTAAACTAGCATTTATTAACTAGAGGTCTAAGTTACTTACCTGAAAGAGTATAAAGATGAGGAAGAGCTCATACACAACGCTGACACACAGCCAAAACCTCCAGTAAGCTACAGAAAGAAACAAACAGGATGTTAGCAAGCTTTCAAGCACAACGGCAGTCAATTATTCATATATAATATATAATAT